CACACAAAGAAAGAGAGAAAGACACGGAGCAAACAGCTAGGACAGAAAGCAACCTGGCGTTCCTCGTTTTTTTCAAGAGTTGGGTTTTTTTATTCTCTTTTTAAATACTGTACAGTGAAAAATAAATAGTCTCAACCGTCACAGATCAAATCCCCCCTTTTCCCCCCCACGCACAAACACACAAACTTGAGACAGCGGAGCCAGAAGCAAGGCGGTGGTGGCGGCAGCGGGGGGGGGGGGGGGCGTGAAGGCAACCCTCGATGCTACTGCTGGCATTACACGCTCTCCCTCCCTCTTTATTGTCTTCCACAGTGTTTAAAGAAATGGGAAAAGAAATGGGGGGGGGGCTCGCTTGGACGGCTTGAAAGCCACGCTCCTCCATGTTCCTTTTTTCCCCGGCACGGTAGTGGTGGAAGCACCTCCTCACCCACCCCGTGGCAAAGCCGATTGGGGGAGTCCCCCCTCCTCCCTTGGTAAAAGGAGCCCCCAAACCCTCTTCTCCGGCCCCGGGCGGGTCGCCAACACTCCCGGTCTTGCTCTCCCAGACTCGGCTGAATCCTTGTTCACGAGTCGAAGAGTAAAGGAAAAAAAAACAAGAGCACTCTGCGCTATTGTATGTGTGTGTGTATGTGTGTGTGCGTGTGCATGAGCGCACACGCGTGTCTGCATTATCAGAAGGCACAGGTTTCTCTCCCTCTCCTTTCCCCAGTTTGAATAAGCCGGTTATTTATTCTCTTTGCTTTTCCGCACATTTGTTTCAAAAACAAAAAACTTTTTAAAGTCACCAAAAACAGATGCATGAAAAGTCAATCGTTTGGCTCTTCTTCTCCCCCCCCCACCAACCCCCTCCATCGTTTGCACCTCTCCGGAGGGGGTGACGAGCTCAGGTAGCGTCAGAAACACCCCTCTCGACCTACGGAAGAGGGCAGAAAAGGAGAGAGGAAGGGGAGGGTGTCGAACTGCGCCCCCCCCCCGGTCCGGCGGCCCTTGGCTGAAGCTTAACCAGGAGGTGTTAAGAGCGGTGGTCAAAAGAGTTTCCCATCTTTGGCAAGCTTTTAACGAGCACTAGATAATTAATTACCTTGGGACTGGGTTGAGCTGTTGGTTGGTTGGTTTTTCTTTTTCTTTTTTTAATAATGGTTTTGTTCTTAAACAAGAGATTGGTGTGGTGTTTATTTCGTTTCTCATAAGAGGTTGCAAGCAGGTGAAAAGTAAGGATTGTTGCGTCGAGAGGCGGGCTCGGCAGCGGCGCACCGGAGGGCCGTTGGTGGTGGTTTAGGACACCCCGTTCACCATGGCCGCCACCTCTTCCCCGCCGGCCCCCGCGTGCTCGCCGTTCTCCGAAGGGCCGTTGACCACCTTGCCGTTGTTCTCGCCCTGGAGAGGAAGGAGCGGCAGAGTTGGTGAGGGTGGGGAAAGAGCGCGGACGGAGCCAGAGCGGCCTTGGCTCCTGCGGGCGGGCAAGGAGGCTGGACTGGGGCGAGGCGTGTCCTCTGGCCCCTCTTCGTTCAGCCTCCTCACAGACCCCCAAGACACGCCATCCCTGAGGAGGAGGAAGAGGCGCAAAAGCCCCCCCTGGCCCACTCTCCCCCTTCCCCCCCAAAAGCCCAGCCAAACCTCACCTTCTGCTTCGGCGTGTCGTCCTCGGCTGACTTCTCCCGGCTCTCTTTGCGTGGGGGTCCCTGCCGGCTCTGGGACTCTGCCCGGGAGATGAAATCTGCCACGGTGACTGTGGGGCGGGAAGACCAGAAGGGATGTGAGCTCAGCCCCGAAGAGCCCAAACAGTCCAGGTGCGTCTTTTCTTCCGAAAGGACAGCTGGCTTGTCCCCCCACCCCCAGCCCCACCCAGCTGGTGGGCAGGCAAGCCTTCCGAAGAAGAGGAGAAATGGGAGGGGCGGGAAGGACCTGGCTGGCGGTCTCGGCTGATCGAGCCGTCCACGCGGTTGCCACGGTTGCGCCGGCGCCTGCTCCGGTTCCTTCTCTGAGGCTTGGACTCCTCCTCTGGTAAAGAGAAAGGCAGGCGATCCTGAGGGACCTTTCCCAAGAGCTTGGGAAAGTCACTCCTTCCAACGGCGGCTGGTCAAGCTCTGAGGCACGATGCTCCAAAGTCCTCAAAGCGCTCCCTCCCTCCCTCCCTCCCTCGGGTTTCGTGACCTGGGCGAAGGTCTTTCCCTTACAGGGTTGATCTCAGGGCGAGATCAGACACACACACACACACCCCGGGTGGGTCCATCGTAGCCGCGGGCCCGCCTGGTGCCATCTGCCCTGAAGCAACCGCGGAGGAGAGTCCCTCGGGACATGACCCTTCAAACCTCCAGGTGATGACCGCCTCTCCCATTTCCAGGGCTGCCATTCTTAAAGACGCACGTCCTTCATTATTTTAACATAAGTAATGTCCAACTCTGACGTGGCTCTAAGAAAATCCCTGGGTCGTGGCCAAGACATCGGCTCAGGGCTTTCTCAGAAACTCACTTTTCCCCCCAAGTTCAAGCCTTTGTCTTCCCGTCGACCCTCCTTCCTCAAACAGAGGTGAGAGGAGAGGACACAGAGTCACAAAGCCAGGAGTGGCAAAGGGTGGAAGGGGGGGGGAGACCTCCAGGCAGCGCAACCCCCCTGAGGAGGACCTTCACGGCCCCCTTTCCCAACCCAAATGGAAAGCTCCTTCGGGAGGGCTCTCCCCCTCCCCGGTTCCAAACCAGAGCCGCACTATCTGTACCAGAGTGCGAGGCCTCCCCGGTGGCTCTCCTCCTCCTGCCCAACCTTGTCCTCCGAAGAACTCCCGCCGAGAGACGGTGGCTCTCCAAGGTGGCCCAGTGAGTCTCAAGTGCAGATGGGGATTTGAACTCAGGCCTCTTGAGAACCGGCCCAACCACACGCTAACCACTATGCCACTCGGATTCCCAAGGTGCTGCCCCTGAGCTTAGGGTTTTCATCATGGGGCAATGGCTGGCTGGCTGGCTGCTCACTCTCCTGTCACAAGATTGTCCTGTGCTGTTCTAGGATCCCCGGAGACCACAGCAAGCAGGAATGGGGAGACCCGTCTCTTAGGACTATCACTACCGGTTGTGCCATGATGGGAGCTGTGGCCCAAACCACAAATCTCCACAAACCTCCACGAACGGGAAGCCTTGGAAATCAAGGACTCCTTCTCTCCTTGGCCTCTGCCTCCTCAACCTCCCCTTCCCCCCCCCGGGTGACCTTGAATAATAAGGGTGCTCAAAGGGGGCCTGACTCTTCCTCAGGAGGAGGGAGCATGGGGCTCTCTGGCCACTCTTGGCCTGCCATTCCCAGAAGCTGTACCAGACCAAACCTCCACGAACGGGAAGCCTTGGAAATCAAGGACTCCTTCTCTCCTTGGCCTCTGCCTCCTCAACCTCCCCTTCCCCCCCCCGGGTGACCTTGAATAATAAGGGTGCTCAAAGGGGGCCTGACTCTTCCTCAGGAGGAGGGAGCATGGGGCTCTCTGGCCACTCTTGGCCTGCCATTCCCAGAAGCTGTACCAGACTCCTCCTTCTGGGGAAGCCTTGGAAATCAAGGACTCCTTTTCTCCTTGGGCTCTGCCTCCTCAACCTCCCCCTTTCCCCCCCCCCGGGTGACCTTGAATAATAAGAGTGCTCAAAGAGGGCCTGACTCTTCCTCAGGAGGAGGGAGCATGGGGCTCTCTGGCCACTCTTGGCCTGCCATTCCCAGAAGCTGTACCAGACTCCTCCTTCTGCCCCGCATCCCTTCTCAAAGCGTCTCCGGCATCCTGCCTGGTTTCATAATCTCCAGATATCCATTTTGCAAAACCACAAGCAGTCCTGGGTCGACTTTTTTTGTGCTGTGCTTTGCATAGATTTAGCTATTTTTGGTTGGGCTTATAGATTCCCAAGTGAAAGGAGGCCAGTCAAGTCATCCTATGGATTCCCTAAGAATTTGTTCCAGTTTTCCTCTTGTTCAAGCAGACCTGCCACTCTAGGATTGGAGTGGTCTACAACCTGCCAATTCTATAGCACAAGACAGCCAAAAATACTGACAACTTGTTTCTTAGAGGCCTCATATCCCATAAAATTGGAGTGTGATGACTCTGAGATATTCAAGGAAGCTTCAACATCCTGCTCCTCTTTCTCTTTTCCACTCCTGGCCCAAAATCCTCCCACTGACCCCTTCCTCCAGCCCGGGAGAAAAAGGACCCCGGCTTGCCCACTCACCCACACCATTCTCATTGACGGACACGCTGTCCGACTCGAGGGCCCCGTCCATCATGGTGGCATCCTCATCGGTGCGGCGCCGGCGGGAGCGGCGCCGGCGGTTACTGACTGGCTGTGACTCGCTGGCATCTGTGTCGGCGGTCTGGTCTGTCTCCGTGTTGTCCAGCAGGCTGTAGGGGTTGCTGTCTGGGTCTTTCAAGACTGCAGAGGGAAGAGAGACCAGCCTGCCCTGAAGGGCTGTTGCGTTGCTTGCTCCACCCCACCCATCCACAGGCCGGTGCTGACTCCGATAGGGAAATAAGAAAAGTCGGGTTGGAGACCCAAGAGAGGAGGGGGCGAGGCGTGTCCTCAGGGAGGGAGGGAGGGAGGGGGGATCGGGGCCAGGACTTGCCTCCTCTCGCTACCAAAGCTTTCGGTATGATTTTCCAACCACTGCCTCTTCCCTCACTGGACCAGGAAAGAGAAAGTAGCTGGATTGTAGAGGCTAGAGTGTTGGACTGGAGTCAAGAGATCTGGGTTCAAATCCTTACTCGGTCACAACACCCAACAGGCCATCTGGGCCAGTCGCTTTCTCCTCACGGGGCTGCTCTGAGGCCAAAATCAGGAAAAGACTGAGAGCTGAATCCCTTGGCCTTGAGCTCACGGGAGGAAAAGCGAAAGATCAACATAAAGAAGCTGCAAGAGGACAGAGATTCCACTGAGCAGCCCCAGGGAGACGTGCGGGCCAAGGAAGCATCATGGGGACCTGCAACGATCCAGGGGAGATGGCTAGGAACCGTCGTTTTCCCACATGCAAAACCAGAGGAAGGGAACCCGCCGCGAGAACCAGCTAAGCCACACAGGGTGTCGGGGACAGCTTGAAAAACACGGGCCCCCTTCTCTCAACTCACTGGGTGTTTCAGTGCCTAACTCGGCTGGCCAAGCATCGTGTGTGCACAGAATGGGGGTGGGCCTGCCAGGGGCGAGGATTCCCAAAGAGGGGAGGGACTCAGGGGCCCTTGACTGAGGGAGTCTCTGGGGACAGTTGGCTCTGGCTCACTCGCAGAAAACCCGGGAGGCCCTCCCAGTTGCCCGCCCCAGGCATTCCTGGCCAGCTTTCGGGAAGAGTGGGGACAATGGCAGGAGGAGGCAGCTGCCCGCCCGAGGCTGGGCGTGGGTGGGGGCTTACCCACCTGAACTGATGGAGGAACTGCTGTACTTGCTACCGCTGCTCCCACGAGGAGCCGGAGCGGGGCNGGGCCCTCGTACTCGTCTCTCTTTTCGGATTCGGTCTCCGAGGCCACGGACACGTCTGAGTTGGTAGCTGGGAAGGCAAAGGGAGGCAGGGAGTGACCTCAGGGGCCCCTCCAGCCAAGGCGGGAGAGGGACCGAGGCAGCCGCCCAAAGAGAGCAGGCCAGGCGACTCACCATAGCCGGAGTTGGGGCCCCTGCGCCCCCGGCCGCGGCCCCCGTAGCTTCCCCCGTAGGTCCGCGTGCCGTGCAGGGAGGAGGAGGAGGTGCTCTCGTCGGTGGTGTAGCCGCCCCGGTCCTTCTCCATCCGGCTGGAGGGGGGCCGGAAGCCCAGGCCGATCTGGCGCAGCTGCTCGTCGATCTGGAGGCGTTCCAGCCGCAGCTGCTCCACCTCCTGGCAAGAGAAAGGGGAACGTTGGAGCTTCCAAGGCCCCCCCCCCTTTTGCTGGCCCACCGCAGTGGGGCAGGAAGAGTCTAGCTGGAAAAGGGCACCGCCCTACTGTTCTGGCCCTGCCATGCCAGCCTTTTAAAGAGAGGAACGGCAGCCGGCCTATGAGCCAGAGGACCCCGCCTGCACCAGGACACTCTCAAGACCGGGAGGGCAGCACAACGATGCCCAGGGTGTGGGGCACAGCACACCAACAACACACCTCACCCCCTCCCTCTTCCCTGCCGCGCTCTCGATCCGAGGCGCCAGGACATGTGGCCGCTCTAGCCTTCAGAGGGAGGGAGGCAGACAGACAGAGGGTGGGAGAGTGGGGGCAGCGGTCCCCTCTCCTAGAACGATCTCACGTCCGTTCCAAACCTTGCCTCCCCAGCCCCCACCCATTCCCTTACAGGACAGGACGGGCCAGAACGAATGGCTGGTTGAGAGCAGCAGGATCCCCAAAAGAGTTTGGATCTCCCAGGAAGACTCTCGCTTCGCCGCCCCTGGGCTAGGGGTGCAGAAGACATCCAGGGCAATAGGCCAGGCAGGGCAAACGAGAGCACACGCCTTACCTGGAGGTAGGAGAGATGGTACTCCAACAGGGCCTGAGCGTTGCTGATACTTTCCCGCGTCCCCACAAAGATGAAGGGAACCATCCCCTGCAGAAAGAAAAAAAAGACCCACACTGGCATCAACAGGAACGGCGGGCTAGGGATCTTCCAGGACGTGGGAGGTCCCCCCAGAGCGGCCGCCAGCCTCCAAGACAGTGAGCCAAGAAAACCTCTCCTGTGGACCCTCTGAGGCCTGTGGAATGAAACAGGCCTCACATTCGGGAGGAAAAGCACAGAGAGAAGGAGGCCCACAACAGCAAACGGGTTCTCCACCGCAGCAGGGCAGAGCCCATGCACCCATGCGGAGCAACCCAGAGCCCTGCACGGCTGCACATGGTTTCAGAAGGAGCATGGGGCTGGCCTCACATCTGCGGACCCTCGAGGTCAAATGCCCGCCCAGTCAAGAGAGGAAGCCAAACCATTTCCAGATCAGGATAGCCCCACCCCACGCCTGGGTTCTTGCCCAAGGGCATACGGAGACTCCTGTCGCCAGAGACCCACATGGACTGAAGCTGGTTGGGGGCAGTAAGGAGGGAGGCCCAGCGCACACACAGCTGGGGAGGGACACGATGCACGCAGGCAAGACAGATCGGGGTGGATTCAGCTTCAAGGAAAGCAGGCAGAGGAGAGAGGCGGAGGGAGAACGCAGCCACTTGCCCAATCCCGCTTACCTCTTCCCTCGGGTTCCTCTTGTCGTTGTCGCCTTCCACACGCACCCGAACGACACCAGACTTGTCCACAATCTCCTGGATGACCTTCCCGTTCTTGCCAATCACCTTCCCTGCAAGTAAGACCAAGGCCGGGCCACTCAGGGGCATCCCTCCTCTGCCTCTCGCGCAAGGGACCCTTCGGATTGTCAGCCAGATCCTTTCCCCCTCCCTCTCCCCCAACGGCTGGCCAGGTTCCCCGAGATCTTCACAAGGACGTGTCCCTTCTTCAAATTCCAAGGAACAGTTACCGCCTGGTTCCTAAGAGATTATCGGTCTTTCTTTAAGGAAAGCAGGTGGCCAACCTTGCAGAGGGAAAAAACTGACAAGGGCCTAGGGGTCGGAGGCGGTGTCCCGATGTGAGGAAAGGAACAGCCCCAGCCCGGGGGCTTTACAGGGGGCAACACAAAGGCCAATGAGAAGAACCAGGATAAACGTCACGGCTTAAACTAGGTGGCAAGATCTTCACTTGCACTGCAGTTCCCAAGCGGGTTGAGGTTAGCCACGCTGGAGGCCAAATGGTGCCGGAGGGGCTTCTTTCCACCCTCCCAGGCAGTGGAAGGCCTGCCTACGGCCCTCCCTCCCCAAAACAAGAGATTCTGACACCGCCTGGCCGCCTTTTAACAGAGGAATCCAACAGCCTCAGAGAGGAGAAGGGAGGAAGGGCCCCAAAGGGTTCCCCCGGACAGGGGGCGGGAAAAGGGCTCACTCACCAACCAGGTTCCGGGGGACTTGAACAGAGTCTTCTGAGAATTCCAGGAAGCTTCGGGCCTGCTTACAGGCTTCCGGGGTCTGGAGAGGGCAAAGGGGCAAGGAGTGACCCCGGGCTGCTGGGAAAACCCTGGCAGGTGGCTTGCTAGGGACCCAAAACCGCAAGGGCTGCTGGCTTGGCCAGGTCCTGCTTGGGGAGCCTCCCCTTAAGGCTGGGGTCGTTCAGATGGGGGCTCATTTCTCCCGGGTCCCCCCACACCTCCACCTTCTCTCTACTCGCCCTGACAGCCGCACTCCAACTGTTGCCCCTCACTCCTCTCCCAACGCCCACCGAAATGGAGCACTCCCGGCCCAGCTCCAGGCAGACCCCGGGACCTGCTCAGCTGCAAGAGTGCCAGCTTCTCCCTGCCACCCCATAAGCCTTGCCCTCCCCTCCCCTCCCCTCCCCCCAGAACTCCAGAGGGACTTGCCTCCCCGTAAATGCGGAAGGTGCAGGTCTCCTCATCCAGCTCGATGGCCGTCACGCCCACCACTTTGCGGGCCTGCTGGATGTTGGCCCCGTGGGTGCCGATGGCCAGGCCCATCAGGTCCTCGCGCACGGTGAACTCCTCCTGGAAGGCCGAGGCCAGCTGCTTGCTCGTCTAGGAGAAGCGTTGGAGATGTTGTGGAATGGAACCCATGCCTTCCCCCCCCCCAAGACTCCCCCGGCCTTCATGTCTGCTGCCAAGGCTTTAGTCCCTGGGCTCTTTTGTCCCGTCCCCACCCCGCCCTCCGTAGCCCAGCAGCAGGAAGGCTGGCCCTGCCGGAAAGCCAAAGCGTCAAGAGGAACCTGAATGAGAACGCCGGGGGGGGGGGGGCAGGACCCAAGGAATCGCTTTCTCACAGGACCTGAAAAGAGGCGCCAACTGAGCCCCACAGGAGGCTACTCAAATCCTGCTTTCCTCAAGCACCTCTTGAGCGTCCTCACCTCCAAGTGTTTGTTGGCTTCCTCGTTCCGAGACATCAGCATCAACTTGGTCCGGATGCTGCGCAGATGCATGTCTCCCAGGAGAGACGCCCTCTTCACAGTGGATTCATTTGTGGACTGACGGGGGGGGAGGAGGCGGGAGAGGAGGAGAGCAAACACCCGTCAGCTGCCTTCCCGCCAGGAAGTAGAAAGATTGCAAGCAAGCCAATGATGCCTCAGACCCCACCGAGCCTTCTCAGATCCAAGAGGACAGCAACCCAAAGCGGAAAAAGAACCAGCTCTCCCCAATTCCTCCGGAGCAAACCCCTGATTTGGCCAAGACACCCGATCCGTGCAGCCCAACTCATATTACAAGAAAAGTGTTGAAAGCAAGCTACCTTACCAAGCCAATTGCATCTGGATAACAAAACTGAAACTAAGCTATATTTTAAGAACAATCCAATAGGCAGCTATATTAGCACTCAAGTATAATGAGTCATGGTTTCTAGCATTTATCTCAAAAATTAACTTCTGAAAAGCATTTTAAAGGACTTTTGATAGGATTTTTTCAAGTTTTATACCACATTTCTTATAACATGTATGCAGAAAAAGAAGTCTTATTTTGTTTCAGATTTCTCCTTTTTTGTTTGTTTGTTTTCAAGGATCAGTATCAAAACTGGACAGCACCGGCTGCCAAAGCCTGCTGGCACATCTTTTCGTCCTGCAACAAAGTGTTTTTGCAAATTCTGTTGCAAAATAATGAGCAATATAAAAGATTCCTTTATAAAGTAATATTCAAAGCTCTGAACTATATAGTACAGGTGGAGCTGCAGCGCCATACAATACAGGAGGTTGTGAAGCCATCAGGACACCACACGTTCCCCAGGTGGATGTCCCCTGCCCAGTTTAAAGCGTTGCTGCCCAAGAGACAAATCTGCACAGTTCAAAGCTCAACGAATCAACACTGAAAATGTGTGGTGGCCTCTGAAATGAGAGAGCGGAGCCCCTCCAGCACAGAAGGGGCTTTCTTCTGAGAGCTACAGGGGAAACGCACAGAATCTTGAAGGGAAAACAAATGTGTCAATGCTTGAAGTTGGGTTCCAGTTTTGAGCCACTTAGGCCTTCCCCCCACTCCACCCCGCTGCCAGGAATGCAACCACGCTGGCGTGACTGTGGAAGGAAGGTATGAAGGGTTGGGTCCAGTTAGGACACAGAGAGGGGACACCCCTTGTTCAGGGGATACCAAGGACCTCCTAGTAGGGAGTACCTGAAGAATTGTTGCTGCCACTCAGAGCTGACAAAACGGGGCAGAGGGAGGAAAGGTCTGGCTCTGTGTAAGGCAGTCGTCCAGGTTCAAAATCCCAGCTCTGCTGCTGTTTTAGGTTCTGCCACCAGAGGGGAGTCGAGAGCTGTGCTTTTCCAAGCACCGGCGGCAACAAGGAGTGTTACTGGCCCAGCCAGCCGGTTTCAGCCCCTCTGTGGCCAGTTAGACTCAGATCCCCGCGGAATGCCAGCAAGCAAGCAAGCAAGCGCACACAGACACGGATACAAATCACTTGCCCAGAAAAGAGAGGCATTCTTACCAAGATGATGAGTTCGCTGCTAGTGGAACTGAGGAAGATGCAGTTTGCACCCACTGCTTTCTTGAACTCTTTGTGCACATTTTCGTTTGAGCAGCTGCAGAGCAGAATCGGGAGAAAAATAAGCCCCTTCAGAGAGCCTTGATCAGCAGCAGGAACGGTGGACAGCCCAGGAGCCAAGCAAGGAAGGGAACGTCCCACTGGCCGTCTCAAAGCTCTTGACACCTGGCCTGCCCTTCCCCCCCCCTCCTCCTCCTTGTTCCATAAACCTCCTGGCTTCGACCTCTCACATTCTTTACCAAGGCGTTCTTAGCTAGGCTCCTCCCCACCCTATCACCCACCCACCCCTGATTCAGGAGGTGCAAGTGTGATACAAGCAACCTCACGTTCTCGCACAGATCCTGTGATCACGGCGCAGAATGTCTAGTATCAGGCAAAAAGTTCACCTACAACCACCTGTATTGGGAAGTGTGGTTTCTGTAGAAAAGAGCACTGCATCTTGTGGCACCATAAAGACAAAGACGCCTGGATCTGGGGGCGAGCTTCCCTGCCCTGTAACTCACCTTCTTTCAATAAATAAGTTCACACAAGCACTCATGCAGAATGAAAAGGATGGGCCTTTTTAAGGGGCCACGAGAGGCTTTGCTGGGTTTTTTTGGGGGGGGGGGTTTGCTGCCACAGATCAAAGAGTCTTCTCCCACCCCCCATGGAGATCCCAGGGATCACTCACGCCTCCTTGAGATCCTCGGGGACCACAATGGTGTGTTTGAAAAAACTGCACTTGGTGGCCACTTTGCAGGGGTTCACGGGCCGCAGCCGTTCCAGCGTGACGATTTCGTTATAAATGGCATCGCAGGCAGCGTACTCGATGACATAGAACTGCGAGAGAAGGGCACGGTCAGAGAAATCCTCAGCGCGGCCACGGACTATCCCCTCCCCCCCACGGAGCACCCAAAGCAGAGGCCGCAGGGGCAAAGGGGACCCTGCCTGCTTGGTCCCCAGCACACTTAAGAAAATCCAAAAGGGAGGGAAAGGGACAGTCATGACACATAAACTCGGGGGGGGGGGGGGGACTCTCCCAACAGTGGACTCCTCTTTCTCCACTCAGAGGGTCCATCCAACCCCTTGTCAAATGTCACGGCCTTCCAGGCCCATAAAATTCTACCCTTGACCTCACAGACTGAGCTTGGCTCACCCTAAGGCACTGGATGATCAATCCTCACTGATTTCAGGCAGGAATTTCCTTCTGACCCAGAGTTAAAAGGGCAGAAGACTCCGGCTTGGCTGGTTCACCGGAGTCACCAGGACCCTAAGGGCTCGGCAGTGCCCTGATTATTCCAACCTCGCTATGCTTACCCTCAGCTTGGAGCAAAGCCCCTGGGATCCCTGATCGGTGAGACTCAGCCTGACAGACCAGGAGTGTGGCTCTCGCCAGAGCTTCTGGCAGGAAACCTCAGGGGACAAGCTTGCATTCCTGCCCTTCAGGGCTGGGCTCATTCAGAGAAAAGGCCAATCCGCCCACAGCATCAAGCTGGAAAGGTCCCAAGACTTACGTCGCCTTTCATCATACGGACGCGGGCCAGCCACCAGCCACAGGGTTCATGCTCATTGGCTCGGGAATACACCTGGAGGGAGAAAACCATTCAAAGTTGCCCAGTGTCTTGTTCCCAAAGTCTTCCCATTCATCCCAGGGCCTCAGATCAGGGCAGCCCCATGCATCCGCAACTCACCTCCACCTCGTCGCCTTCCGAAATCTCCTTGCTATAGTCCGCAGGCGGGGGGAGCCGCACGTCGCCGAAGGGGATCTGCCTTTCCGGCTGCCAGCTAGGGAGAGGCAGAGGAGCTGTTCTAAGAAACAGCAGAACCAACTCTCCACCAAGAGGGGACACTTAACACTGAACAGGCCAGAGAAAAGACAGCGGGAAGCTGTGCCACCATCCACCCCAGGAAGGAAAAATTCTGCTTAAAGGACACACACAGGCACCAGCACCTCAGGTCCAATCCTGCAGCAAGCCAGCCAGCCAGGCATCACTACCGCTCTGCCTCCCTTCCTGCTCCCCCGGTTGAGAATGGATGCATTTGAGAAGCACACCCCGTACAACCTTCTGCCACTGGGAAGGGGGGGGGTCTCTTCTCCCGTGACTCCCCAGGTCACATCAGTCAACTACAGCCCGGCCGGACTCCCAGATTCCTACACACAGTCACTTCCACAGCAAAGCCAACCCTACCCAGGACCTGGCTGCATATGCGTGCAAAATCTCTGTCTCCCAAGTTTTACTCCCCTAGCCCACGCCTCGAGGTGCAAAAGGGGATGGGGGGGACTCTTGTATATTCCATGGTGTCTCCTCAAAACTACAGAAATTTGACAACACTGCCATTAGACGTCATGCGAGTCTTTCTTTATTGCGCTCCATGATAACAGGAACCCCGATGTAGAAGCAACTCAAATGCAAGCCCCACTGGAATGGCGGAAGGTCGCTTTTTGAACTAGGTGGGCACCAATTAGTCCATCACCGTCATTTCAAAGGGAACCTGCCCCTTCTTGACTATTCACAGCTTTGGAAAGAAACTGAAATTATTCTCTCCTTCCACCCCCTAGTTGGTTACGAAGAGGCAGAAGTATCTTGACTGACTCGCACAGGCTAGCTGCCAGGGCACACTCCCATGTGATCAATTAATCTGTCAGACAAGCAATGATATCTGGTTAAAAGGAACTGGACAACATGCCCAGACCACAAAGAAGCCAACCCTACAAAAGACTTCAGAGGTTCTGGAAGGCACCTCTCGGGACTGACAGGAGGAGGGCAGGAAGACAGGAAAGCTGGACACAAAAATGGAACTCAGTCGCATCTCTCCCCCAAAAAATTACCCACATGGCCGGCTGGCCAAGGGCTGACCGGGCCCCCTGCCGTTCCCCAAAGAGATTTCTAGGCCGCTCCTTGTCACACGGCTGCCATACGGTCCCTCCCTCGCACGCAGCCGGTCATCGCAGAACCCTGGGAACTGGCCATGGTACTGCAAGGCAGCCTTGTTAAACGCAGCTGAATTAGCCCACATTTACATCCCCGCCACCATGCTGGTTTCCCTCCCAAGAGGGGAGACGGGAGGCCAGACACAGCTGCTGGCAGGCGTCCAGCCTTCTCGCTGGCGGGCGGGCGGGCTGGCTTCTCCGGGCTGATCAACAGAGCTGTCACTGCTGGCTCCTCCTGCCCGTCGTCGGGGGAATACTTATTCATGCCAGGACCAGCTCCCTCACTACCTCCAGGATGGAGAACAACCTCAGTCTCCGAAACTTTGGGTGCACAGATGAGTGGTGGCTGGCCTGCAGTGGCCGGAGATCAGACTGGCTTCCCCAGGCAGAGGTTGCCGCCAGGGCTCCTCCCCAAGGCTTCAGCTGCTCAGGCATGGCGTTTGGAAGCAGCCTGGAGCTCTTCTCCTACCCCACCCCAAAAGACCCTCACTGCTGGCCTGCTGCCGAGTCAGGAATTTGTGGGGAAAAAACTCTTTCTCTCTCTCACACACACACATATCCAAAGCAATCTGTACTGAAAGCTCACCCTCTTTCTCAGAAGCACAAACATATTCCCTCTGAGGGAAGCTCCTGCCAGGCATTGCTGGGGGTGGGGGACACGGTCCCCCCCCCGATGTATTCAGATTTGCCCAACCTGTGTCCCTCCACTGCTGTGTCACTCTTCCTGGCTGGGGAGGTGGGGGAAGAGGAAGATGACTATGACACAGCCTTGGCCGAGGGAGACTGCTGGCAGCCTTGACCCCTTTGTGCCAGGAAACGGAGAAGCCTTTTAACTGCATTGAAGCAGGATTGGAAAGATCCTTCCCTCTTTGGCTCAGGAGAGGAGAAAAGGGCTCTAAGCAAACCCGCACAGGAAAAGAAGAGGAAGCCAGGACTAAGACCTTGGGGACCCCCAGGCTAGGCAAGACCCACATCTCGCTCGCTGGACTGCTCTGTTTTAGGGTTTGAAAACTATAAACTCCTTCAAGGAAAAGCCCCGGGGGAGGGGAAATAAACCACACAATCCTCTTTAAAGAATATTTCTAAGTATTACTAGAAACAAGGACAGGAGGCCCTTCTTTCCCCCAGCCCGTCAAGACACCATGCTTTGAGGGGTACCATCCATCTGAGAAGCCATGCCTGACCCAGGCCCTCCAGAAATAGAAGGAGGGAAGCGGAGAAAGAGGAAAGCAAGACAGAATTCCAGAGATGTACGTACAGCTAGGGAGGGACAGGTGGGGTGCACTGACGCAGTGAGAAGGTGGCCAGCATCTCGCAAGGGAAGAAGGAGAAGGATCAGCCTTGTGACCGAGTGAGCCATCTCCCAGAGAGAGGAGGGGGCACCCCCAACGCTCTAGACAGAGGGGCCACATTCGTTCCACAAGAGACAGGCACGGCTAGGAGCCTTTTGGGGAATGCGGATACTGCTCAGAGGGACAAGGGAAGAGCTTAGCAACTCTTCAGGGCAATGACAAGAACTACCACCACCCCAATTCCAAAAATAAAATAAAATTTTTAAAAAACAGCACTCAGTTGGAGGCATTGGTTCAGCGCAGCATTCAGTCTGGATTCCAGGCCACTTGCATGAAGTACGGAGGGCGGTGCCAGGTGAGCACTGGGTCCTTTGTCATCACAGGAACTCCTGTGATCCAGAGCCTCCTCCTCCTCCTCTCAGCAGCACTCGACTGCAGGAGCACAGGAGCAGCTGCTGCCACCCTCAAACGACTCCAACAAGAACACGGGGAAGGGAGGAGCTCTTTGAACAAACCTCATCAGGCCAACAACCCTAGCCAGTGGTGAGAAAGGATGGGAGCTGTTGTCCCAGAGGGCCAGAAACTGACCACATCTTGAAAAAAAAAAAAGAGCTTTGAATGGGGCAGTTCCCAGCCTGCTGCTGAGCCCTTCCCTCCCCTCCCTCCCCCCAGGATGAGCCACACAGGAGACAACCGGGCTGTATAGTTGGTAGGACTCACTCACTTGTTTTCGAAGGAGATCGTGACTGAATCTTCATGGACGTCTTTAACAAAACCCTAGAGGACAAGAAGGAGAAAAGTGAATTAAAACCACAGCTAGCGACTGCCAAAACGCTCTCTTGAAGGCCGCGTTAAGATAGCTGAGCAAGAGGAAAGGAGCAAAGAGGTGGCCACCCCGGACCGCACTCAGAAGATCCACCAGCTACGTAACAGAGCCGCCCCATGGAAAGAGGGGCCAGGGCCAGGCAAGAAAGGCCCGTGGCCATCACTGCCACCACCAAGCGCGCGAACTCGCGTTTAAGTGCCAATCAATCAGCAAATCATAGCAGCAAAACAAGCAGCAACGAGGCAGATAAGGTGGCCCTCTGGAAGACAGCTCAGGCGCTGCCCACAAGAGAGGGAGGGAGGGAGCACGCGCCAAGTAGGGCCGATCGGTTGGAACCAGAAGCGATCAACGGAGTGACAGCATCTGCAGGAACCCTTGCACAACATTCAGGGGCAACCTAGGGAGGCTTCCAACAAAATCTCCAGGCAATGACTCTTCACAAGAGTCCAGGGTGACGCGACACCGGGTGTGCCAACTCTCTACCTGACCGCATTCGCTCTTCTAAAATGCCATGTATCCTGCTGGCCAATACCACAGGCTCTTGGGAGAGTTTGCACCTAGTCTCCCACACTTGTTGCGCTCTGGCAGCTCATCAGAACCCAGAGGCCTGATCCACTTTGTTGCTACTGCACAACTACGCAACGTTTGGGTTGATCCTGACTCCCTAGCAGCCCCCACCGACCCACCAATTCATGATTTGCCAAAGCATCTGCTCTTTTGGCCTGCTTATTTTTATATTCCACGCTTAGCAAAAGCCCAAGGAAGTTTGAGAGCAAGGAGGAGAGATACCGCTGATTTGTAAAATGATATACTGTAATTTGCCTCATTTGGATTCACACAAATGACCATTAAGTGATTCCTAAGGGAATGTTCTTCAGAGCTGGTTGGTCGACAGACAGAAGTCTGTCAGCACCGTTGTTATAAGGCACGGTACATTTTGGTGTACTGTTGGGGAGGAGGAGAAATTCCAGCAAGATTTTCTAGGCAGGAAGGAACCAAACATTTCTGACTCAAGAAAACTGAGATACAGTATTCAACACATCAGGTCCCTAGTTATGGTTCTGTAAAGCCGCTTTCTGCCAGAGAGCCACTGCCAGCCAAACTCTTCATCGGCCTCCTATATGGCTGCACAGATCAGCACAGCCTGAGGGCAGAGGGGGCAGCCGCAGGGCTACCCAGAAAAGAAAGAAACACAAACCTGTTCTGAGTTTGGAATGTGATGAGGGCAAGGCAGAAGGTCCCGCCTGTCCCGAGCATGACATGAAGAACAGGTGGCCTCGCAGAATACAGGGGCTCCCCCCCCCGCCAGCTGCCCAACCACCTCCGGCCACAAGGAATGAGCAGAAAGCTCCTGTCCCCGGCTGCACAGACACGAGGGCCATGAGCTCAGGGAGCACAACCCAGCGGAATAGAAAAAGCCGGGAACCTCAGCCCTCAGCCCAGTATCTGTGCAAGGCAGCGGGAAGGGGTTATAAAGGCAAAGGTGACGATGGGGGTGGCAGCTGGGTTTTGCCACCGAGCACGTACAGGGTCTCTGAGCGGAGCTGGAAAGTTACAGGTCTGGATTACCCTGGCTAGCACGGCTGGCAGACTTTTTAAAGCTGTATTCAAAAAATAATGATTTTTTAAAAATTAATAAACTTATGAGCAAAAAAGATCCTCAGCCTGGTTCAACAGCTGGGATTTTCTGATGTCTCAATGTTCTCCTCCACAAGACCGGCCAGCTGTGACCCAGAGAGGAAATCTAGCCTCAGGCTTCTTCCCAGACCACGTGGGACAGTTCTCCCCTCCACGGTGTGCCTCGGAGATCTCGCATACGCTGCCCACGGCCTGCCATTCTCTTTGGAAAAATCCAGACCATGCTCAACCAAAGGAACTGGGGGCAGGGCTGACCGTGTTCCACTGCTTGCACCTCAGCCTCTCCCTCGTGAGGCCAAGGAGAAGTGGGCCCAGGAAGTTCTGCCATGAGCACTCCCTCCGTTGTCCAGTTATAAGATTCCCCCTTCTGAGCAGCGCTGCTATATCTGACTCTGGGCCAGCAAAGAGCCGTCGACAGAGACAAGATCACCACTCCCCACCACGCATAGGAAGGAACAGTTCTCGCTCCCACGTTCACCACCTCCTGCCCTCAAGTGACGCCGTCGCCCAGGCTAAAAGAGAACGGCTGTACATACCATCTGGGTCATGCCTGCAATGCCACACTAGAGTTTCAAGGGGCCACTTATTGCTCTCATTTATTTACACACACGCAAACGATGGACCCGTGAATTTACAGACGAGCAGCAACCCTGCAGGGCCCCCCCCCGCTATAAACCTGCAGCTAAGCACGCTCAAGGTTTCCCTCCAGCCATCCTGCACGCCACGCATCTGTTGCCGATTAGGCTTTCAACACAAAAAATATTTGTTGCTGCAAAAATAGTCCAGGAGCCCTAGCAGCTACGACAGGGATTGTTCACAACCCCAAATGCCAGATCTCTCCAGCTCCACACTGAGCAAAGTATTTGAAATTACAAGCACTGATTTGGTAGGGGGGTGGGGGCGGGCTGATGGAGACCCGGCACAATCCCCTCTGGTAACAGTACTTTCAGCAGTTAACAGCAGACACAGAGAGGATCACAGCACAGCTGAGAGAGGGCAACCATCCACATGACTAATTACTCTCAGTGTTGGCAGCAAACTCACTGAAGGACAAGCCATCTTCCTTGTGGGCCTCGGAAGATAGCTTGTCCTTCCAGAAGCCTAGGCGCATCAGTGGGGAAAAGGAATGACCGAGGGAGCAGTTTCCCTGGCCTCCCAGAAGATCAGTCTTGTGTTTTCCACCAGAAACATGGGGTTCTTGTTCTCCCCCCCCTCTTTCTAAGTAAAGGGTCCTCTGTGAGAATCCTTGAAGAGCCCAGGAGAACAGAAACGAAGGGCTTTGTTGCTGGCACAGCGGAGAGCAGAGATCGGAGACTGAACTAGGCCAGGGCATTTCCTGCCATTAAGGAAGAGCAGGGAACTCTTAAGAGGCAGCTGAGGGAGCACACTTTCAGCCAGGAATTGGGGCAAGCCGGGCTGCTGCTTTCTACCTGAAAGCGAGCATGCACAGTGTTGCTTCCCTTGATGCAGCGGTCACCTCAGGAGCAGGGACAGGCGCACCATGGTACATGCCATCTTCGAAACTTCTCTCCACACGGCCGTCACCTTTCCAGAGAACACTCCTCCTTTCTGCTCAGCCCTGTTCACTGCAGGCCCTCTGGTGCCGAGAGAGCTATGGCAGGAGACACCGCCGCAGAGGAATGGAGAGGCTGCACAAATGCCACCGAGCAAGGGAGAAGGGTTTGGACTGAGGGTGGGGGAAGGTGCTGCCCTCCAGATGTTGCTGGACACGAAACCCCACTGGCCCCGACAGGCACAGCCGTGGTGAGGACCGATGGGGATTTGCAGTGCAACAACATTTGGGAAATGGCCTGATTAGATCAATGGTGAGAGAACTCCGTCCAGATCCGTGCCTTTTACGGGGCAAGCCTCCTGGTCCGCCTGCCAAATATTCACCGGAAAGATGTCTCTGAGGCCTCTGGACACTGCCGTCCACCTGACCCTCATAAGGCAGAGGCTATGGATTGAATCTGGGCACTTACTGCATAAGAAAGTGCCTACGCTCTGTGACCAGGGCTGGCACTTGAAACCTCTGCTTTCCTTCCCACTGATTTCTCAGGAGAGCTTCTTTGTTGAGCACGTGGATGGAGGGTAATGGCGGTGGCCACACATGTTATGTGATAGGGTCCGGTTACAGAAGTTCAAAAATAACTTACTTGATAAGGAATCTGAGGAGAGGCCACAGTCGAGGGTATGTGAAGAGACCCAGAAATAACCTGCTCCCTTCCCAGAGCCAAGAATTAGTCCTCAAAGAGGACTTTGGTCCGTGGCCATCCTCATGCCGAAAACGGGCCAGTGTGACTCTGTTCTGAGGTGAGGCGCCTAAAATTAGTAACAGACACAATACCCTGCTTCTGCTCCCACCTCAGAAAGTACGTTTAGGCAAAGACTTCCCAACGCAAGCAAACTCCTTCCACTACAAAGCCCAGAAAACATCCCTTTTCTACCAAGGCTGAAATAAGCCTCGCAGGATTCCTAAAAACATGTCTCAAGCGCTTTGCTTCCTTTCCTCTGTCCATCAGCACAGTCTGCTAAGCCAGCTTTCTCAACCTGGGGCGCTCCAGGGGGGCCGGTTCACAACCCTTCTCATCCCTAAACAAGGTACAATATATTTACAGGGCCAGAGAGGTTGAACAAAACTGCCCCAACACTGCTCATTAAACGTCTCTGACCCTCAGTGCTCCACGGGGGAGGGGGGCAGTGTTGATAGATGGCACCCAAGAGCCACCCAGCCATGCTGAAGGGGAAGGCGGGATCCACTTTAACATGATGGACGGTCGATCTGGAACCACCCAGCCACTCTGTTATGAAGCTTGTCCCTAACTCTGTGCTGGCTGGAGACACCAGAAGTTACCTGAGAAGAGAGACTGTGTCACACGTCCACTACACTCTATGTTCGAAAGGCAGAAACTGCAAAGCCCACAGGCCTCAATCCAGGAAACAGGCTAAAGGCCTTGAGGCAGCGATGGTGAACCGACGGCATATGTGCCACAGCTGGCACGCAGAGCCCTTTCTACGGGAACACAAACCAGAATTCGCCGGATCGCTACTCCCCCATGCAGCTAAACCTCAGGAGGTGGCTGCAGCTGTGGTGCTGGCATCCCGACAGGATCCAGAGCAGCTGGCGCTGGTGGTGGATCCAGAGAGGGGTCTCGAGGCCGGGATTCCCCCTTCCACCGCCACTTCCAGTTCCACCACCACCACTTCTGGTTCCGCCGCCACTGCGGACCATCGCCTGCTGTTTTTTTGTTTTCAGTTTGGGCACTCGGGCCCCAAAAGGTTTGCCATCACTGCCTTAAAGGGGATGCATGCT